AACCAATTATAAGAATAAGATCAGCTTCTATCGCTCGTCGGCACAACAACATTTTCCGGTAGGATTCGGATTACATGTTCCATAGTCGTAACCAGCCTCTATACAGTTATAGACACATTCATGAAGTCCGTACTTTCCTGGCACACATCGAGTTTGGCATTTTGGTGGCCTCGGATAAATCCATGATTTTCCCCTGCCTGCACATATACAACACACAGTCCAATTATAGTCCTGCATTTACGTTGTCCAAACAATGCTTTTGAAGAAAAAACTTAAGAATATGTATGAGAATTAGTTAATTACTATTAGGACTTCTTGAGATTTCAAATTTTTCAGTTTTATCAAATATGTTTTAACTATTTGAATGCTTCAAGAATTTTGAAATTCACTTATATGTCCAAACATTAGGATATTTATGTTGGAATGGATCCACAAAATAAATAAAATATATCCAAACACTAAAATAATAATTAAATTAAAACTTTAAACAATATTATATAAACATTATATATAAAACTATAAATTTTTTGACAAATCCTAAGTTGGATCTTTGGATAATCAAGACTATAAAAATGGATCCAGAGCGGGTTTCAGGTCGAATCATGGATTTCGAATAATATTTTCAGTCCTACTACACATATATATATATAAGGCTACTACTAGTTCAAAGAAAAATGTAAAATCTTCAACTATTCTTGACATCTTTCATAAAAAAAAAATCTTCAACTATGTTTGTGGTTAAAGATAATTGGAAGATAACAAACCAAGAAGAAATGATTTGTAATAAGCACATACCTGATGCGACCACGACACTGTACTTGGACATCAAAATTACCAATGTTACTACAAGAAAAAAAGTCACAGAGGTTTTTGTGATAGCCATTATATATTATTTTTAGCTTTTGTTTCTATCAAGAGGAACCTATATATGCTCTAAAATTTGCTGTTGCCAGGACAAGTTCTATTTATATGAATTTATGTCAAAAAGTTTCAGTGTAATACCTTTTTTAATTATGACTATAACTTAAATTTCCGTATTTGTTGATATAATCATGTTTTTGGGCAAACATCTATTAGGAATCTTTTAGCAAATCTATACTATTATTTAAGAAGTAAATTTGCTTAGTTGTCATGTTCTCCACAAATTTAAATAATTTTGTTTATTTATCATATTTTCATATTTATATTATTATATATAATTTATTTATAAATAAAACCAATTTATATGAATATATCATATTTTAGAAAATAAGATAATTCTTGTGAATTATGTTGTTATCTAGAAATATATTTTAAGAATTATCTTATTATCTAGAAATAGATTTTTATATATAAAACTTAAAAAGATAATTCTTAGGTATTATGTTGTTATGTTGAAAATATATTTTCCTATTATAAAACTTAAAATTAAGATATGAAAATTATAGTTTTAATAATGAAATTTATATTTTAGAAAATAAATGAATTTTTATATATTAAGTTGTTATCTTGAAAATATATTTTTCTATTATAAAATTTAAAATTAACATGTAAAACATCTATACTATTATTTAAAAAAAATAATTAAAATTACCTAAAATCATGTCATAATATAATTAAAAACATTTATCATAATTTTGATAATCTTATATGTCATAATTTTGATAATCTTATGTCATAATTTTGATAATCTTATGTCATAATTTTGATAATCTTATATAATTAAAAAACATTTATCATATTATATTTTTTAGAAAATAATAACTTATGCATTATATTGTCATCTTGAAAATATGTTTTTCTGTTATAAAATTTAAAATTAAGATATAAAATTACAATTCAATATAACTTAAGTAAAAAATGTGTAAATATTATAATTAAATATAAATAAGCAAAATCATTATAGAAATATATTCTTTTAAATATTTCCGATGTTTGAGTTTTTTTAATAATTATTTGATGTTTGATTTTGTACTTTTTGAAAACATAAATAATAATTTATTATGCTGATTTTTAAATTAATGAAACATCAACTAATAAATATTTATAAGAGAGTTATGCACGTAAATGCGGGCAAAACACCTAGTATATCAATAAATATATTCGCACATTTTCATATATGCTAACAGTGGGATGGTTTTTATATTATTATGTATTGACACGGTATAGTCTATCGGCTAACTAGAGATCCTATTATTAAACACAAAAGCCCATATGATAGGAAGATGAATACTCAAACTGATTGAACATATCTCATTATTTCTCACGGCCATGGAAAAATAAGACCTAAGCAGAAGGTGTTGATGTTCTGATTGACTCAGTAAGAAGAGTTTGAGTGAATAGATCCCACGAAGCACCACATATCGGTGCGCCGTGAATATATTTTTTTTGAACTGGCAATGAATAATGTTTCCAGTCTCAATATATGATCCAATAATTTCAAGAGAAACAAAAGCCTCTATTTGTCTATTACTATAGTACTTCTGTCTGCCCCCGAAAACTTGTTTATATGCAATTTAATTCCATAGCCTACACCTAAACTATATCTTATCTCTATAATATTATTTGAGAAGTCAGTTTCTTATGTGTCGTTCTCACGTTCATTCTCACGATGGTTGATTACATTGATACCCTTAATGAACTAAAAATAGTTCAAAATATTATTATTAATTTTTTTATTTTTAGTTTTTCCTTTTCAAAAATTTCCAAAAAGATATGTAATAAAAAAGCATTTTTTTATAAAGTCATAAAAAACAAATTTAAAACGAAAATATATGTATATATAATATGATTTCATAAAAAAGGAAAGTTGACAAAATAGTAATAATACATTTAAAATATTTTTAAATAACATAAAAATATGTATATATAATATAATTTCATAAAAAAGA